GCTTAACCAACTGAGCCACCCTGGCACCTCCAGTATTTTTATTAAAATGAAACCAAGAGAACAACTTGGGTGGAAGCAGCCTCCATGCTATGATGGCAGAGAGAAAAATGCGGAAGGCACCATTAACTCAATGCCCATCTAGCATTTCTCTGGCCCCCCTCCCAAGAAGCATTCTGCAAACCATTTATAGGTGGGCACTTCTAGTGCTATCCTTTTAGAAAATCTCTCAAAAATGCACGCATAATGCAAAGATCCATAAATTCTTATGAGCAGCTTTAGGGGATGAAAAAGAAATAAAGGATCAGAGAAAGTAGTATCTGCAGAATCAACTGACCTGTTGAATAACCCATGGCATCTGCCTTAACCTTTTATATTCTAGAGCTTTGGTTTTGCTTTGTTATTTTGAGTCTGTGACAGTTCAAGGACACGATAAGCTCCTTGAAATTTTATGCAAACTTGTATGTGTATGTTCATTTTTCAGCGGATAGGGTTGGTAGTTTTCATAAAATATTCAAAAGGGTTCATGACTCAAAAAAGATTGAGAACCACTGTGTAAAAAAGGGTGGTTATTGAAATCTGGCCAGATATTAAATGCAACTTGAAAATCAAAAAGATTGGCTTTCTTACCCCAGAGCTTCTCAGCCTAAATTCAAACATGGAAAAGAATTAGCTCTGTGGGTGGCGTTTTTCTTTGTATATACAGTATATCCTTTTAGGACTTATAACCTCATAAATAGCAATTTTATGCCTGTCAATATTGTTTTGGCTTAAGAGGGTGGGGTTACAAATTCTGCTGGCCTCATTCCAGATCCACCATCTTGCTTCCATGGCCTCTGTGGATGACAATAGGCTTTTAAAAAACCTAAATAAGGACATATAGGCACACATAAAGTTCAATGTAATTTTGTCCTAAATGCTTCTTTCTCTTTTTTTTTTTCTTTATATACAAAACCCCACCATCTTTTATTTCATTGGCTTCCCCTCTGTTTTAATTCTGTTCACAATGTGGCAGAGCTTTCACCCTAAAAGACTAAAGTGTCATAAGGAAGCTTGGTGCTACTATGTGGTCATACAAGAATTCTTTTTTAGGTCATAGAGTCAAGCCACCAGAGAGGGAGTTTACTGGGAAAGTAGTGGTAAACTTTTAAGGGGCTGATCTATGCTGTCTTGGGTGGGATCCAGGTATCTCTCACTTAATGTCTTAACTGGGCAGAGTTGATGCCTTACTCATGTCAGGTTCTTCCAAACTTCTGGAAAAAGAGATAGGGTCAGCTTATCAGTTATGGGGATAGATGGAATGACAAGTAAAAAAAAATCTAAGCTGCTGCTACATACATAGGAAACAGAAACCCATTTGTAATTGTTTATGTGTTTATTTGCAATGGTAGATCTAATGGTCCAACAGCCACTTTGGCACAGGGAGTGGAAAGGTGAAGAAATCTACTGTATCTCTGCCTGAGTTCTTGGGTCTCTGATCCTCCCTCTCCTGCTTTGCCTTTCTTCTGGGCTACTCCAACCTGGTTTTCTACTCTTCTCTCAAGGTCATGGCTGCTATTTGCTGCCTTCACTCTTTGTGTCTCTACATCTTCTCTACTCTACCAGCAGGCCATACTCTTTGTCTTCACTTCAAGCACCCCAAAGGACAAGATCCGATTGGTTTGATCTCTCTCCCTCATGGATACAATGTCTCCATTGGGAAGAACTCTAGAAGCAGTCCTTTGGATGGTCAACCATTGCACCATTGCATCAGGAGACCCATTCCTGGGTGAGTGAGTGTGGATACATTTATCATGGTAAAAACCACTTGTGAAGATTTTTACGACAAAAAGTTGTGAATATGGCAACTGTCTTCAAAATGAGGCTAAGTGTATGGCAGGCTGTGATAGGCAGAATAATATCCTCCAAAGAAGTCCACATTCTAATCATCAGAGTTTATGAATATGTTACCTTCCATGGCAAAGGGGACCTTGCAGATTTGGTTGGTTAAACATCTTGAGGTGGGAAGATTATACTGAATTATCTGAGCAAGCCCATTGAGAGAGGCACAGAAAGAGGTTAAAAATGCTACCCTGCTGGCTTTGAGGATGGAGGAAGGATCCATGAGCCAAAGAATGCAGGCCACTTCTAGAAGCTGAAAAAGACAAGGGAATGGATTCTCCCTCCAGAAGGTTTGATTTTAACACCTTGTTTTTTATTTCCAACACCTTGATTTTAACCCAGTGAGGCTGTCAGGCTTCTCGTCTCCAAAACAATAGATAATACACTTGTGTTATTTTAAGCCATTAAGTTTTGGGTAATTCTTTATAGACTCAACAGGAAACTGATAGAGAGGCTCTGAAAACATTCTCTCTGAAAACATCTCCTAGTGATAAAAAAAGGCTTCAGGGGGGATTATAGATTAATCCATCTTCATTCCATTCAGGGCACAGTTTATCTGCTACTCTCCTACTTGTCCACACAGACTTTTCTATAATCTATTCTCATTGATTGGCTTGGCTCTTGACTAGCCAGAAAACCTTGATGTCACTTGAAGTTTGGTTGAGCTGACCCTCCAGGGAGTGGGCGTATAACCCAGACGTGGCCATAGTTGTTGACCCAGGGATAAACACAGAACGCAAACATAAGATTCTCTGGCAGAATCATGGGTGAAGACATTCTCTTTAAGCTGGTGGCATATGAACATAGGGCTTTAGGGGAGCACCATACCATGTATAATGAGCCAACCAAAGAATGGAGAGATAGAGCCCTAACTTCATTGTTTTAGCACCTGGACTGACCTGTGCCTGATGTTGGGCTTATTCTTGGCCTTTCTAATTAAACAGGTTGCACATTTAATCCATCCACACATCCTGTTAGTTTATTTTCAAAATGAGCCCAGAATCCAAGCTCTTGTCAGCACGGAGTGGTTGCTCCCCGCTCCAGCCCACAGTCATCTCCCTGGATCCCTTTGGCAGCCTACTGCCTGGGCATCCTGCTCCTGCCATGGCTCTCTTCACTCTGTTCTTAGCCCAGCAGGCAGAACAACATTCTGAAAATGTCACTCAGATCACGTCACTCCTCCATTGTCTCCCCTCTTTACTCGGAGTCGAAGTCAGAGTCTTTGCAGGGGTCCACAGGACCCTTGGTCAGTGGCTCCCCCCTGCCTCTTACCTTTCTGACTTCACACCCTTCAGGTCCTTGCTCAGACGCCATCCATTTTGCCTCATGTTTTAGCTTTCTTCACAGCACTCTTAAGATCCATACCTTATTCCTTTGTCTTCAAAGACACATTTGGTGACTTGCTACAAATTACACATTTGTCTGTCAGCACATTTGATGCCTTGCTACAAATTACAAAACCCTGACCTTTCCTCCAGGCTAATGTTGCAGCCCACTGAGATTCGAGGCTTGGCTATAGAATTCAGATCTGCTTTTAGCCCCACTTGCCCTCTCCCCTGGGCTCTGTTGGGCTTTGACAAACTGTACAACGTGTGTGTGTGTGTGTGTGTGTGTGTGTGTGTGTATCAGCCTATATCTTTTATCATCTGCCCCCCCTCCCGTGTATACTCCATGAAAACAAAGATATTTGATTTTTTAAACATTTTGTTAACTGCTGGATCCCCAGTATTTAGAATAATGCCTGGTCCATGATAGGAGCTCAAGAAATGATTGCTAAAATAATTAATATGTTTATGTTTTCTTCTTTGCTTGAGCTAGCCTGAATTGGTTTTCTGTCACAAGCAAAAGAGTTCTAATATATCCGCACAACGCTCAAGTATTTATGTTGAACAGCACCAGTGACGTAAATGGCTGTCCTCCTGAACAACTCATCTCATGTTTTGATGTTTATGCTTCTTTGAAAATTCTTTCTGATATTGAATATCTACCTCCCTGAAAATTTGATACATTTCTTACCTATAGATTAGGCAACACAGAAGAGATTTAATTTTTCTACCACATGACAACCCTGCAAATATTTGAAGGCAAAGCTATTATTACTTTCATATCTTCTCTTGTCTTGATTAAAAGCCCCCAGTTTCAACTGTTTCTCATATAATGCTGTTTTAAGAAATCTTCTTCTCCCTGTTAACCCTCTTTGAATGCCTTGGGGTTTGTTGTCATTGTTGTTGTGTTTTTGTGTTCCTCCAAATCAGAACGGAACGTAACACTCTGGAGATTCAATCAATATAGGGTAGAGCAGACTTATTACCTCTGATCTTTAAGATACTCTACTTTCCCTTTTTTTAAAAAAGATGTTCACTTTCATTACTATAATCTATGATCAAATTAACATTTTGGGAAAGTCAAAACATAATAATGATTTATATTGAACTTACCATGAATTAAATCCCCTCAGTCTTTGTCCCACAGCTGTCATGAAGCCATACTACATCGCATAATTGGACAACTGACACTTTGGACCAAAATTGCCAACACTTAATGCTTGAGCCTTATTATCAGTCTCTGTCCTTTGCAGCTTTGTGTCAGCTTCATATTGTATAAAATCCTGTTATTTTCATCCAAATTCTTCCCTCCCCTCTCTTCTGACCCTTTCTTTCACCCGAGGGTTCTGAGGCAGAGGTAACTTATTCCAGGCTCACATTCTGGGACTATATGGCAAGTCAGGCTTACTCATTCTGGGCTCACACTTCATGTCCAAGACCCAGTGTCGTCCATGCACCAGAAGATACTTGTTTTCCTGCCCTGGTTCTAGTTCCCATTCCAGGAATTTGCCTAGAGCCTCAGTCTTCTCCTGCCTCTTCTTGCTATCATCTCTCCGGGTCATTAGAGCCTTCTGCCTTCCTGTTGGGATACTCACTATTCCTACTGTGAACCATATTCAAACTATAATTCGAAATTATTCTTCTCTTGTATTTAGAACATGCGAAGTGCATGAGTAAATGGAAGAGACAGAGGAGACCCAATCAGAAAGGTAGAAGAATAGATTCAGACCAAGAGGGCGGGTCTCCTTGCAGCGATGGCAACTCCAGAGGAGAGTATGAACTGCGGGGGCTGGAGTCATGGCAGGCCAGGCCTTTAGAAAGTTTCTTCCCCTCTTTGACCGAGTCTTAGTTGAAAGGAGTGCAGCTGAAACTGTAACCAAAGGAGGTATTATGCTTCCAGAAAAATCTCAAGGAAAAGTGTTGCAAGCAACAATAGTAGCTGTTGGATCGGGCTCTAAAGGAAAGGGTGGAGGGCGCCTGGGTGGCTCAGTTGGTTAAGCGACTGCCTTCGGCTCAGGTCATGATCCTGGAGTCCCGGGATCGAGTCCCGCATCAGGCTCCCTGCTCGGCAGGGAGTCTGCTTCTCCCTCTGACCCTCCTCCCTCTCATGCTCTCTGTCTCTCATTCTCTCTGTCTCAAATAAATAAATAAAATCTTTAAAAAAAATAAAAATAAAAATAAAAAAAATAAAGGAAAGGGTGGAGAGATTCAACCAGTTAGTTCAGTTAGTGTGAAAGTTGGAGATAAAATTCTTCTCCCAGAATATGGAGGCACCAAAGTAGTTCTAGATGACAAGGATTGTTTCTAATTTAGAGATGGTGACATTCTTGGAAAGTATATGGACTGAAGTCATTATTAAAATGGCATGAAGTGAAGCTGCCCATTCTGGTGAAGTTGTGAAATCTTTCATCATGTAAATAATTTTCATGTCTCTCTTTTATAATAAACTAATGGTATCCAAAAAAAAAAAAAAAAAGACCAAGAGAGAGAAGAGTTTCAAAGACAAAATTGTCAGCAATGCCAAAGGCTGTAGAGAGATCAAATCATTTGCGCAGCAGGAAAACACAACTATGTTGGATAGAGTGTCTCTGGGTATCTGCAGTTTGGAGCTCTGTCTTCAGTTCACTGGGGCACAAACACTGCACATCTTGAAAATCAATTTAAAGCTGTCATTTTAATTGGATTGAATGAAGCGATCTTTGGTACACAGCTGTATTGACCATCACGTGCTGGTCTCCTCTAGCCGGAGAAAACTAGAAATTACCTTTTGTACTGACAACCTACAACTGACAGAATGAAATGATTCTACTGCTTGCAGGCAACAGAAAAAATTCAGAGCTGCTTCCCCTTGCTCCACAGAACCAGGACAGCCGTGGGATTGTGGGAGATACACAGGGTGCTCAGGGCTTCTCAGATCTATGCACAGAGGGAGCAGCAAAGCAGGATCTACTAACTGCAGGTTCAGCATCAGCTCTGGTCTCTGGGAGACGCCTCTGGAAATGGCAGCTCTGAGCTGGGGCATAAGGAGAGCTGGGCTGGAGAGGGGATGTAGTGGGTATTTATCACTTTCCTGCTCTGCAGCGTCTATTCTCTTCTTTTGATAACACTAATAGTCTTTTAAATAAAAGTGCCCTGCCCTGACCTCGCTGAGGGTAGAAGAGTGACTCATAGAGAACAGTTTAATTTTTTTCCTGGGACCTTGAATCTTGCATGCCATGTTGCAAAGACAGGGGGGGAAAGGCTGGTGCTCAGTCATTGCTGTGCTAGACTCCTGGTGTTGTCCTGGACCCTGCCTCTTCATAAGGAAGAGGCTTCCTCTTTTCCCTCTCTGATTGCCCCAAGAGCCACCCATGGTCCTACCAATATATTTCCTTCTTGCTTGATAGAGTTGGTTCTGTTGCTCTCAACCAAAGAACTCTGATGCAAATACCATGCCAAGAAGTGGACCAGCTCCTTTTTTATTCCCCCCAATCCCAGCCTGGATTTTCCTTAAGGAAGCCTGGGGAATAGAGACCCCTGAGCACTTGCTCCCCTTTTCCTCCCATGGTAGTATTAAAGCAATTATTTCTCTTCTGACACTGATTCTCTTCAAGCCACTACTCACCCTCATTTCCCACATGTTGTGGCTTAAGTCACAGCAGAAGGGAAAGCCTGAAAATCATTTGAATGTAAATTGAACTGAATTTGTAAATGAGACAAAATTAGACATACACACATGCTATCTACAAAGGTTGGGAATGGAATAAGAATAGACCGCATGAGACAAAAAACAATATAATGTGTTCCAGAGAGAAATGCGGTGACAGTTTTGCCAGGAACCCCAGCTATAATGAACACCTCTTTATTATCACTTTTCTGGCCATCTGAGAAACAGCCAAACTCTGAATGAATGCTGGGATATATTACATTACTTTCTCTTTGTGTTATAGTCAGACGTTTCTGTTTACAGTTATATCTTTGGCAGGCCTTATTAATTAGCACTGCCAAAACCAATTTGTCTAACCCCAAATCTGATCAAGTTACAGTGTGCAATTGTGGTAGGTCCTGAGACATGCTGACTTTCCAACTAAGCTTTACCTTAAACCTAAATGGCATCTGTCTGATCAGTAAACATCTGGAGGGCATACCCAATCCTCAAGTTAATTAATGTTTATATGTTTCATCTTCCCACCAAATTTGTAAGCTTTGAGAACCGTGGTGTAGTGGAGAAAGCATAGACTTAGGACCAGACAGAACTGTGAGCCCGTGCTCCATGCTCTGCCACTTACCACCTGTGTTAAACTCAGGCAAGTTACTCAACCATCTGAGCCTCTGTTTCCTCATCAGAAAATCGAGAAAAGTGGAGCACCCGGGTGGCTCAGTTAGTTAAGCTTCCAACTCTTGATTTCGGCTCAGGTCATGATCTCAGGGTCATGGGAGCAGCCCCGCGTCAGGTTCTGCACTCCGTGTGGAGTCTGCTTGGGATTCTCTCCTTTCCTCTCCCTTTGCCCCTCCTCTCCTCCCTCTCTAAAAAAAAAATTAATTAAAATTTAAAAATAAAGAAAAGAAAATGGAGAAAAGAATCACTACGTGATTATCAAACCTGTTAGTGTATGTTAAACTTCATTCTGTTTTTTCTGTTTCTTTCTCACAATGCCTGATGTAGTACTCTGCATAAAATGGACATTAAGTAAATATCAGGCACCGCCTACTCAACATTTATGGAATACTGTGTACCAGGAACTGCAACAGGTCCTGAGGACACAACCATGAAAATTCAGCCTTCAATCAGCCTAAATTCTCCATCATCAGGAAACATGGCTGCTGATGGCTCTTGGCACATAGCTTTACATCACACAACATCAGCATCAGAATGGCCTGAAACTTGTTCCCTATGTCAAATTCAAAATGTCCAAGAAGGACTCCATTTGATCAAGCTTGTGTAAGGTTTCCACCCAGTTCTAGTTAACTGGCTAGAAACGTAAGCTTCTTTACTGTGACTGTCTCAAGTGATACATACCCCAGAGACAATCAGCACTGGCTATAAGACAGTAGGTTCTATAAGACAATAGTTCCTCCCTTTGATTTGTTCGGTGGATAAAGGAACATTTCCCAGGAGGGCTGTGCATGGAGAGGATGCTATTCCAGGCGGATAATACAGCATCTGTCCATGTCAGTGTATCTCAAGAGCAGGGTCTTTGTCTTCTTGGTCTTACTTATCTGCCTCCATCTAGTACCTGTGCATTTGTGTTTGTGGAAAGGAAGAATATAGAAAAACCAGAGAATATTGAATTGCCAATTCTGTGGCAATGGTTGTCCCTACAATGTAAGCTCAGAAAAAGGAAGAACAGTGTGGGATTTACAGAGCTCGTGGAAGAGATAGGACTTTAATTAGGCATCCAAGAATGATTTAAGATTTGACTAAGTGAGGAAGAGAAGGCATTTCAGAAATAACCTGGCTTATGTGTTTATGTGAGGGGTAGGGGAAAGCAATCAGGGTTCAAGTGGGTCTTACTGGAACAGTGAGGAAATACGGACAAAGAGGATAAGTAAATTATTGGAGGCGGGCTATTTAAATCCTAGGAAACAGTCTGTTCCTAATGTGTTAGTGAGTAGGCAGCCATATAAGTTCTTGAGCAAGTGAGGGACGTGAAAATTAATTTAGGAAGATTAACAGTTGCAATGGTGACCAGGTGTTCTGTCAAAACAAGAAAGATACAATCCCCGCCTTTTAGCGTCCCTTCAGTGGGGGGACATGATAAGAAAATGCATTACTACAATATTGATAATCCTATGACCCTAGACTTGGGTTTGTGTTTCTCACTATGTTTTATCTGAAAAGTGGGATTCTACACTAAAGACAACATTAAGAAACATTCCTAAACCAATGGGGCAGCAGCATTTGCTTTCATCGGTTGCCATGGCAGTTGAGCTTGGCATTTCCTGGAGAAATGTGCACTCAAGAGGCTGAGCTGGGGCACCCCGAAGTGGCCTCTGTTGGGCTCCAACAGCCTCTTCAGCTTGCTGTTATCTTTCACATCATGGCCCAAGTGCATAAACTACGCTTCCATTTAATAAGCTCCTAATTTTTGGAGTTACATATTCTAGGTACATTATCTCTTTGAATTCTTGGAAGTGCCCACGCAGAGTCTCAAAGCAATGAGTAACTGGGTTTCGATTACACAGATAGCCTTTCATTCATCCACTCCCACCCAGGCGCTATACTAAGCACAAAGGTTAGGCAGTCCCTACTCTTACGGAGCTTATACTTTGCAGGGGAAGGAAGAAATGATATTATTAAAGAAATAATTTACAGTATGATACGACGCTTGCTTTCATTACAGGACAGGAAGTTATGGGAATATATATCAGAGGGAATCTAACCTGGTGGGCAGAGTAGGCCTTGCTGAAGTGACCTTTAAATGGAGACTTGAAGGTCAAGTGTTATTAATGTAGCTCAAAGGGGACAGAAAGTGTAGTCCAGGAAAATATGTTGAAAGACATGCTGCAAGCTTGGAAGTGAGAGAGGACCTAGCTGATTAAAATCAAGAAGAGTGGGTCTGAGTATTTGGATGATAGAAATGGAGGGAAAAAGTGAGGCTAACAAGTTCCTGCATCAGGGTTAGAATGCAGGCCTCTTGGACTCCATTGCCTGCTCCTGACATTCTCCCCAAAGCCCGTTGACACATGTAAAGAACCCAGATGAAGCTGCCATTTTCAGGTGTCCCAAAGCCAGAAAGAAATGGATTTTTCATTTCAGGATGGCGGTATTGTTCCATTGCACGGGTCTGTAGTTTCAACTAGCAAGAATGAGTTTTTGAACACACTAACTCTCTAAGTCAGTACTTCCCACAAGCAACTGTGCTTTAAGACTCAGAAAATTCCAGTGGGTCATAAGGGAATTCAGAGGAGAAGTGTCTGGTGGTTTCTCAGGTTGATCATTTGAAACAATTTGCTGTCAATAGTCATTGTATAAATGACTTTTTAAGATTGAAAGTTCTAGTTAATTGTTTTTTCTCTGTGTGAGAATTACTCTTATTTTTATAGTGGCTCTTCTGAGAACTGAAACTACATATCAGAAAGAGGATCATCTTCAGTCATTCTGCTGTCTTTAATCTAGAGAGAGGGTTTAATTTGTAATATTAAATCTGATACTTTTCACAAGCAGTATTTTTTTTTTACCTCAAAAGTATAGGTAAAAAGTGTGTGTACCATATAAAGCTGTTTTGTGCATTATCATCAAAAAATGATTAAAAGATAGTGATGAATATCTGCACATTTTGAGCAGCAACATTTACATTGAAGATCACGTCTCCGTTTTGCCCTTAT